GTAGGGAAACCTCAGGTGAGAACACACCTAATCTATTTTCCAATCAAACTCTCCAGTGAATGCTGACCTTCCGAGGGGCATGTGAGGTATGAGCAAGGCTAGAATTCCAAAGGGTCACAGTCCTTGTCATCACACATGGTCCAGCCATGAGTCTTGGTGATGGTCTGCAGGGACATGGCTGTGGGTCTTGGCTGCACCGATCACCGGCCTGTCCACGAACTCCACAGTGCACAGTTCTGGGCCACCGTCCCCACAGGGCGCACGCTCTAGCTCCAGCACGATGACGGTGTTTGGGGCCGAGGTCACCAGGATGTGCTGCGGCACGAACAAGGTCATCTGGGGGCCCCGTGCTGGCCAGTAGCGGCCCAGGTTAAAGCCATTAATCCACACCTGACCCTGGAGAGAGAGAAAACCATCAACCCAGCTGCACTGACCACCCCGAGGAGTGCGAGAGCCTTGGTGCAAGGGGGCCAGGGCGGGGAGGCGGGCAGTGCCCCCAGAAAGGCGCTCTCCTGCCACAGGCCAGGCCCAGAGCCAGCGTGGGGTCCAGCATCCTGCCAAGATGTCCAGCCAAGTCGGGCAGGGGCTGGGTGGGAGAAGCCACAAAAGCTGCCCCTGGTACCCACCCTGCTTCAGGAAGAGATGTGTCTTGTCCCTTTGACTGGCTTCAGCACCACACATATCAGCGCTGGACGACACTGGGGCAGATGCACCAAGTTACTGGATTTCGTCCTGGGTCCAGGGCGGGTAGGGGTCAGCTGCCTGTCGGCACACACCAGCCTGTGCCTGGCGCCTCTGTAGGCAGCTGCCTCCTCAAGAAGACGAGCTTTCTCTCTTTATTCTCCCCTCCTCCAGGCAGGTGGTGACCTCGCTGCCTCTGTGCACGAGATAAGCACTGCAGCCTGGGACACACAGGTCCTCTAGAAGGATGTGGAGGTCGCGGAGGGAGAGACGGGGGCCGCCCGGGCGGGTGTCTGTGCTCCTGCTGTGTTTTGGCAGTTTTCACACCAGCATGAGAGTGAGAGTGGGGACTTGCTTCAAGGAGCAGAGGGGATCCTACATGCTGCAAAGACGACTTCTGTGAGAAGGAGAAGCTGCCTCCACCACAAAACTGAGAGGGAGGAGCAAGTCCTCAGGAATAGGGACCAGGTGCAGGCGTGTCTGCACAGCCTCTAGGCAGGAGCTAGGATTTGCTCACAGGTGGGACTTAGCAGTTGGATGAATAGATGGAACCTTCTGTTACACAGAAAGAGAGCAAAGGAGGGGAGATCTCACACACACGGCAGAGCAAGTGGGGACAGACAGAATACGTGGGAGAGGATGGGGGAAGGAAGAAAGAAGGAAGGGAGGGAGGGAGTAGTATAAAAATCGCTCCCACGGTGGCCCACATGTACTGGGGGACACCCTGGAGGAGGCCCAGTCCTGGCTGCCACCTGCAGCCCTGACTCAGCTGCAGAACTACTCAGTTCTCACCTAGTTAACCCCAGGTGTCCCCTCAATGTCAGCTTCCTACCTGGTTCAAACCTTACTCCTGCCACTTACTGGCTGTGTGACCTTGGGCGGGTCCCCACTCACTCTGGTACTCGGGGACAGTGAGGGTGGGAGGAAGCAGTGGCTGGCCCGTGGTCGGCATGGCGTGGCAGCACCCCTCACACCAGCACAGCGAAAAGACCTTGGCCTCCACAGGTCCACGAAAGGAGGCCAGTGATGGAAAGCCACCTGTCTGTTGGGATAAGTCATTTAGAAAAAGGGTGACAGATTCACAATTCTCAGAATTATTTTACTCTTGTTTTTACCAGGGGATATGCTATCTCGATCCATCCTGAAGGTACACGCAATGACAGCCTCACCAGGTTTTATCAGTTGAAGATCTGGCAGCGCCCTGTTTCCGCAGTATTAGAGAACAGAACTTGACTTTTGCGGTCGAGGGGGAACAATGGGCTCCAAGGGGGAGCGCGAGCGGGCTCGGTGAGTAGCACACAAGGGCTGGCCTGGGCGACAGGGGCTCCACACTGCATCCCAGCCACGGCCATACTGAGGGTCAGTCCCTTCTAAGATGCTACCCCCTCACATCCCTCGTGCTGCACCGGGCATGTCCACCTGGGAGCTGGGGACCGGGTCCTGAGTCCCCTGTGTTGGTTATTGGGACCTGGGAGCGCAGGGTGGAAATAGGCTCCCCTAGCTCCCTCCAGGGTTAGGTTTTGCAACTCACCCAGGCAAGGAGACAGGGTGCAGCGAGCAGGGGCCCTGGGAGCAGAACGCTCCCCGAGCAAGGAGCAACTTGCTTGACACTGCAAGGTGGAAGGGAGCCAGGACACTGCTGGGGATTTGCACGGTTAAACGAGGAACTGACAGAACCAGGCACCTGTGGGCTCAGCTCACCCTCAGTCCAGGTCCAGCTCATCCTCCTAAACGCTGCCCTGCCAACCAACAGTGAAGTAACTGCACAGACAACAGCCCCAAAGGCCTCCCGTGAGCTTCCCAGGGTACCCACTTGCTTCTGGGAGTCCCCAGAGAAGCTGACTGCACCAAATCGGGAGGGTGATGAGCGTTTCTGCCTTTGATTGGTCCTTCTTCCAACTTTCACTTCTCCAGCTGCCCCCGTTTCTGGAAGGTCCAACTCCCACTAGCGAACACTCGTGGTGGCCCCACTTCCCAGACTACTCTGTGACCGAGGGATGTAACCCACAATTGTCACTCCTAGTTGCGCAACAAAGGTGATTCAATTTTTCTTCTAATTCTCCTTCATTTGTGCGATCTGTTCTAGTTATTCTTTTTTTTTTTTTTTTTTTTTTTTTTTTTTTTGCGGCACGCGGGCCTCTCACTGTTGTGGCCTCTCCCGTTGCGGAGCACAGGCTCCGGACGCGCAGGCTCAGCGGCCATGGCTCACGGGCCCAGCCGCTCCGCGGCACGTGGGATCCTCCCGGACCGGGGCACGAACCCGTGTCCCCTGCATCGGCAGGCGGACTCGCAACCACTGCGCCACCAGGGAAGCCCTGTTCTAGTTATCCTTTTCTCTCCCAAATTATCACCTGTGGCCTATTTTAAACCTTCAGCTCCCACGTGGACTCTTTTATTGGCCGTGCTGCAGCGTGCGGGATCTTAGTTCCCTGACCAGGGATCAATTTCGTGCCCTCTGCAGTGAAAGCATGGAGTCTTAATCACTGGACTGCCAGGGAAGTCCCTGAACTCTGTCTTTTAACTGCCCAAGTGACTCCAACATGTAGGCATCCTGCCTGGCACCTTCCCTCCAACTTTCCCAAAACCCACGGTTACATTGTCTTTGGTTTTGGTTAATTCTCCAAAGCTATGAAAGTCTTCAGGACAAACTTCCCCTCTACTCTCAGTCCTTAACAGAATGGACATTCGATGAAGCCTGTGATGGTGTGGTTGCCCTTCCAAGAGAGAGGAATGAAGGATTGGGAAAGCGCAGCTCCGAGGCATCGCTGGTCAACAGAACTGTCTGCAGAGATGGAAGGCTCGGTGATGCCAGCTGTGTGCCCTGACGGTAGCTCCTGAGCACCTACGGTGTGGCTGGTGTAAGGAACTGAATTTTCACTTTGAATTAATTCAAACGTAAACATAAAAGAGCCACACATGGTCAGTGGCTGCCGTGCTGGGCAGCACAGCTGAGCTGCAGCGAACGGCCGTCACTCCATCATCAGACCGGTGTCCCCGCTCCTCTCCACCCTCATGGCCAGTCCTCCAGAGCACGTCCCAGGCAGCGCTGACCCAGTCTTCTGCAGCTGCCCCCACAGGTTGGCCCCCAGACTTCCTCTAACTCTGGATCCCAGGCTCCACACAGCAGCCACATAACAATAAGACAATTTTCACACGTTTCTGCTTCTAATCTCCTTAGTGGCCAACAGGCACATCCTCTCACCCTTGCTCCCAGCTCCCCACTTCCCCACTCCGCACACCAAGCTTGCTCACCTGTGCACCAAGCATCCCCTGCGCCTGCAAGACTGTCCCCCACACCTGAAGCCTTCAGATCCCTCAAGTCTCCACCCCATCATCACCTCCTCGGAGAGAAGGATCATGTCATCCCCTCCGCAATTCCGGGCCTTCCATTCCATCACTCACTCTCCCTTTAATTTCTTTCTTCTAGTTACTGTCCGTGTTTGAAATTTTGGTCATTTGTTTCACTACTGGTTTATCAGCTATTTCCAGCGGAGACTCTATGAAGGAAAAGGCTGAGTCCGTCGTGTTCAGGGAGAGCTTCTCAGCACCTAGCAGAGAGACATTCAATATACACCAGTGCTGACTCAGTAAATAACACTGGAGGATAATTCTGCCGGGGGAGAGACTCAGCCCTACTCAAAGATACTTCATGCCCCTCCGCTCTCAGCTTAAGAATTTTAGAGAATACTGTTTACTGGAAGAACAATGCAATATTTGCGTTCCCCCTTGATTAACACTTTAAAAGAGTCAAACTTAAAAAAAAATCTATTTTATAAAACATATACACTCTGGGACTTCCCTGGTGGCGCAGTGGTTAAGAATCCACCTACCAACGTAGAGGACACGGGTTTGAGCCCTGGTCCAGGAAGATCCCACATGCCCCGGAACAACTAAGTCCGTGTGCCACAACTCCTGAGCCTGCGGTCTACAGCCCACAAGCCACAACTGCTGAGCCCATGCGCTTAAAACACATGCTCCGCAACAAGAGAAGCCACTGCAATGCGAAGCCAGTGCACCGCAATGAAGTGTACCCCTGCTCGCGTAACTAGAGAAAGCCGCGCACAGCAACGAAGACCCAGCGCTGCCAATAATAAATAAATGAAATAAATGAACTTATAAAACAAACAAACAAACAAACATATACACTCTGATTTTTTTTTTTTTTTTTTTACGGTACGCGGGCCTCTCACTGTTGTGGCCTCTCCCGTTGCGGAGCACAGGCTCCGGACGCGCAGGCTTAGCGGCCATGGCTCACGGGCCCAGCTGCTCTGCCGCATGTGGGATCCTCCCGGACCGGGGCACGAACCCGTGTCCCCTGCATCGGCAGGCGGACTCTCAACCACTGCGCCACCAGGGAAGCCCTACACTCTGATTTTTGTTTCTCTTTTAAAAGTAATGCTGAAATTATTGGTGGAGGGGAGAGTAGGCACATGTGATCTAGAAGTAGACACACTCTTTTTTTTTTTCTTTTGGCCACTCCATGCAGCTTGTGGGATCCTAGTTCCCCGATCAGGGATCAAACCCATGCCCCCTGCAGTGGACGCACGGAGTCCTAACCACTGGACCGCCAGGGAAGTCCCTAAAAGTAGACATACTCTTAATTAATACAAGGAGCTTCACTGAGGCCAAGCATCTGTAGAGTGAACACAGTGGCTTCTGGGGCTTCCTGTGGTTGTCCCAGCCGAAATATCTCCATGACAAAGGCTGACTTTCTC